GTCTAACTCACAAGGGGAAGGAGAGAGAATCACCGTCATTATCAGCCCAAAGCTGATTCCTGTGAAGTGGTGGTCAGATATACTTTCTTTCTCCAACCTTTTTTCAAAATACCATTGCTATCACTAGCTGCCCCGCCATGGCACTTTCCTTCTTTGTGTGTTCAGTAATTCATTGCAATGGTCACACACAACTGAGATACCATATTCACAGTTAGGAGCTTTATTAAGGAATAGGTTACAACTCAAGATACAGTTCTTCAATCAGTACAGCTTTTTCTCAGCCACATCCTTACTCAGGCCTTTCTCTGGTCCTTGACATCTAGGTCTGGCCTCTGCCCTACTTGAGGAGGTGTTACAGAGCTCTTTAGTTTCATCAGTAAGTACCTGGACACACCCCACTTCTCTACTATGCCTGGCAAGAAGGCACTCAGCTCTCATTCTGTGGGTCACCATACCCACTGTAGCCACCTTGCACAGTGGGCTAGGAAGCCCATCACACTGTCTCATGCTGGTCTCCTGGTTCTGCTACTGCCATTTCTCTGCTAAACTTACCACCACTATTTGCTGTCTTGCACCTTCTCTGCTGTTCTAGCTCTGTCTGTCTCCTGGGTCTTAGAGGTCTCAGCCCAGGGACCCCAGGTCTAAAGGGTGCACTCTGCTCCTGGCTCTTCTTTCTTGATGGTAGTGAGGTTCCCACACACACACCCATGCTCTGGGATTGGCTATCTTTTTATGCCTACCAGGGATGGCAAAACTAACCAGTCCCCTCACTACAGTTCCACCTTATTTGTGGAATAAGGGTTCCATGTACCTTATTTGCATTGTTAACAAGCTGTCTAATCCCTTTGGTGGGCTATAAACCCCTTATTTGCATAGTCTCACACAATTGAAAGAAACAAGCCTCCAGGAATTGACGGAATACCAATTAAGATGTTTCAGCAGATGAATGTAATGCTTGATGCACTCACTCATCTGTGCCAACAATTTTGGAAAATAGCTACCTGACAAACCAACTGGAAGAGATCCATATGTGTGTGCGTTCCAAAGGTGATCCAACAGAATGCAGAAATTATCAAGCAATATTACACGCAAGTAAAATTTTGCTAAAGATCATTCAGAATTGGTTGCAGCAGTACATCAACAGGGAACTGCCAGAAATTAAACCCAGATTCAGAAGAGGACATGTCACAAGGTATATATATGTATATGCTTATATCAGATGGATCTCAGTTCAAAGCAGAGAATATTAGAAATATGTTTATCTATGTTTTATTGACTAAGCAAAGACATTTGACTGTGGATCATGACAAATTATGGATAACATTGTGAAGAATGGGAATTCCAGAACACTTAATTGTGTTTATGAGGAACCTGTATGTAAACCAAGAGGCAGTCATTCAGAAAGAACAAAGGGATGCAGCATGTTTTAGAATCATGAAAAGTGTGTGTTGGGGTTGTATCCTTTCACCATACTTATTCAATCTGTATGCTGAGCGCATAATCCAAGAAGCTGGACTGTATGAAGAACACATCAGGATTGGAGGAAGACTCATCATTAACATGCAATACAGGCTGACACAACCTTGCTTGCTGAAAGCAAAGAAGACCTGAAGCACTTCCTGATGAAGATCAAACATTACAGCCTTCAGTATGGATTACAACTCAACATAAAGATAACAAGAATCCTCACAACTGGACCAATAAGCAACATCATGGTTCGTATCTAACATCAGTTGGTCAAATGTTTGTCTTACATATAAAGATACATATAGTATAAAAAACGATTAAAGAAATACTTCCAGATACACTAAAACATCTTTAGCATGATAATATAGTAATAATAATAATAATGTTTTGATGTATGTTGCAAAGTAGCACCCATTTGTCATTACAAGCCATTCTAGGTACCTCAAATTTTTAATATAATAGCCTTTACAGGGTTGCTTGGTAACTATGGGTTATATGTAAATTGGGTGTTCATAATCTGAAGACTGCCTGTAATTCATTGTCCTGCAAAAGGAAATCGTGTGAGATCATCTACTCCTGAAATGAGAAGTTTTATTGGTGGTGACTTCTGAAGGAGACATTCGAGCTGGGCCTTGAAAGATGAGAATTTTTCCAAGTGGAAAGAAAAGGGAGGCAGAAGTTGAGGCATAGACACAGAGGCATGGAATCTGAAAGCACAAAGTTGTCCTACCTATGTGGCTGGAAAGTAGGACATAGTAGTGTTGGGAGAGAAATAATGTAAGACCAGGATGTGAGGGTCCTTTGAATCCTTTGCTAAGGAATTTGAACTTTATCCTTAGGGTAATGATGACTAACAATTACATAACATTCAGAAAGTATTCATTTATCTGAGGAGTTTTTGCCTTATGGATGAAAGAGACATGATAAACAAGGCTTTTAGAGAACTTCTGCTAATGTCACTATCATAAAACAGATATAGCATAGTAGGTATAGAAAAGAGAAGCAGGCCTATAATTCAAGAAACATTTCAGAATTTGAATGGAGGATTTGGTATCTGATTTGGTTTTGGTCTCCAAATGCAGGCCAGTTTCTTGCAGGGAGATTTCTCTAAGTTTAAAGTTGGTTGTTTTTTTTTGGAAAGCCAAAGAAAATTAAATAGTTATCATTCTCCTTTTGCTCTTTTTTTCTGATTTTCTAAACTATTTAATGACCACATAAGAGTTAGATGATTGTGACAGTAGTGATTAGTACACTTCTGAATCATTGGCCACATGTCTCTGTGTGGTCGGTCTCATTCCCAGGTTGCTAAGGCAAGACCTTGATCAGTGATGTAACGACTCACAAACACCACGTGGTGGCAATGGCGATGCTGCGGAAATTGGCAGCAGAGCAGTCTGAGGGAAGCAGTGGAAACCTTCGTGAAACTGGGGATACATTTTCTGGTCATAAAAATCTCAAACTGCATTCATTGTAGCAAGAGAAAGAAGATGGCTTGTTTTTAGCAAAGGGCAAAGTCATTTTCAAGGATCAGAAGAAGAAGAAACAGAGTGAAGCAATCTGTGTTTCCCCCCAGTTTGCGGCAACCATTAGTGTTCCTTCTAAAATGAAGAAATGTATATTTAAAGCTCCTTACTTGTCTAAATTATTTGCTTATCAGAAACTTTAGACTTAGCAGAGTTCTTCTTGAGATGGCACAAACTTCAGAAGCCTCATAAGCAAGAAGAGCCATTATCTTAAGCTAAAAACAGCTGTGCTTACAGCTTCCTGAAGGCTCTTTATGTTGGATCTTTGTCTCCGGTAGCTCTTTCTCTCTGATCATCTTGAGGCACCTTGTCTGCATCTAGAATGTCAGCACCAAGAAGGCTGTATTACCTGCACTAGGGCAGTGCTTGGCATGTAATAGATGGTCAGTAAATAGTCATTGAATGAACAAGTAGATGAATGAATGAATTTGCTCTTGACTATTTCTCTTAGAAACTGAAGATTCAGAAAAGGAAGCATTCTCATGAGTTAGGGTCTCTAGGCGGGATTACTGATACTTTTTTCAAAAATACCATAAAAAAGGAGACTTCTTCCACTATTTCATCAGCCTAAGAGACATTTTTATATGGACTAACTAAACTTTTTTTTTTTTTTTTTCGCTTTTTATTGTGATTTGGACGAAAGTTTACAAAGAAAATTGGTTTTCCATTCAACAAGTCACACACATTTTGTTTCAATGTTGATTACAATTTCCACAATGTAACAGCACTCTTCCCACTTCCTCCCTGTGTTTTCTGTTTCTTCAAGTTATAAAATCATTCTCACCATCTTGTTCTGAGTTGTTCTTTCTTCATTAACAGATTCACTGCCCGCTATGATTCCTATCTAATTTTTCAAGTTGCTGTTCTCAATTTGATCCATATACATAGATCTTAAAAGAACATAATGCTCAAGGCAGGCATTCTTTACTAGTTAACCTAAACTGTTTGGTTTTAAGAAGACTTCAAGAGATACTATTGGTTTAAGATCTAAAGATTATTTCAGGGCAATAGTTATCAGGGTTCATGTAACCATCATGGCTTCAGGAAGTCTGGCATCCATGAGAATTTGAAAGGCTGTTCTATATTTTCCCCTTTAGGTGAGGACTCTGTTATGGACTCTGATCAAAATGTCATTTCCACCTTTTGATTATTGTGAATAGTGCTGCAATGAACATTAGTGTACTAGTGTCTCTGAGTGTGCTTTCAAGTCTTTTGAGTATAGGAGTGGAATTACTGGGTCATATGGTAGTTCAAAAGGATCTCTGGTGGTACCTAGTGCCTAAGGCACTGCTAACCAGAAGGTTGGTGGTTCAAACCCACCAGCCACTCTGTGGAAGGAAGACTGCAATCTACTTCCATAAAGATTTACTTCCTGCGAAACCCAAAGGGGGTCCTATGAGTTGGAATCAACTCAATGGCAGTGAGTTTGTTTTTTTGGTTTATGGTAGTTCAAAAGCAAAAACAAATCTATTGCTATCGAGTTGATTCTGACTCATAACAACCCTCTAGGGCAGAGTGGAACTGCCCCATAGGGTTTCCAAGGCTATGAATCTTTACAGAAGCAGAAAGACACATCTTTATCTTGCAGAGCAGATGGTAAGTTCGAACCACCAGCCTTTCGATTAGCAGACAAATGCGTAAGCACCAAACCGTTAGGGCACCTTATATGGTAATTAGAATCATGCCATTTTTAAATATTAAGTCTTTAAATACCTTAATTATTTTTTCACTCTCTAGCTTTAAAAGAAAATAACCACCTTCAAAAAGCCATCATGAGTCTATTTGTGAGAGTTTAAGGATTTTCTCCCCCTTTAATATCATTCTGAAATAATTTCGTGGGCATTAATTGCATGAATATGCTTGGATTAAAAGGTGTTCAGCCAGAACTCATAATTCCATCCTAGGTGATTTCAATTCCCATCCTAAAATTAATTACTGTGACATATTTCCACTTTCTGGCAAGTTTCTCAAATAATCTCACTTTCTTGGTGTCATTTCTTGTGTTTGTAGCAGAGGGATACCATGCAAGATAATCTGATAAAGCTCCAGCAGGAAATGGCTGAACTGGAGGCTGTATTAGACGAGCATGGGAGCCAGCCTTCTGACAGCCCCCCTTGCCTCATTGTAGGCTCTCATGCCCCCGAGGACCTGCTGAATCCAGAACACAACACATCAGAAAAAGGTGATTCATAATACTGGTCAATCTCTGTTATATTACCCAAAATTTTTCCCTCTCTAAGCCTTTATTACTTTCTAAAAAATAAGGACCTAGCTCCAACATTTTCTGATCTTTGCTCAGCGCATATTTACCAAGTCACTCCATGGGTAATTTTAGAACTTTGGTTCTAGTCCCTGCCCACAACTAATTTACCATTCAGAGAAGACCCAGGATAGTCATTCAGTGTCATTGTATGACTGAGCACCTATAATGAATGGATGCTATGGGAGTCCAGGAGACATACACTATAGTCTTTGCTGTTAGGCAGTTGAGTGTAATGAGGGATATTGGGAATAGGTAACCTCATGATTTCAGAAAATTTGTGGAAAAACACTTAGACATGTGCCTTATATGAACTACTTATTCAGTAGTTGTGCTTACCAATTATAGGCAAAGTTGTTCCTTTACTTTTGGAGCTTTCGTTTGATCCACAGAAAATCCAACTGTATATCAGAGTCAGACACTTCCTAACAATTTTATAGTTATAGTTACCATAAGGCCAGATGGACCTCTGAGAGGAGGCAGTTGCAGTAACTAGGCAGGTAGGGTTTATCAAAGCTGACTTCCTGTGGGAAGGAGCTGAGGTATAATGTGCTCCTGTATCAATAGAAAACACACTGACAGAAATGAAGGGAAAGTGAGATGAAAATTTGAATTTGTAATTGGGAAGAATCTTGTTAAAGGACACCAGGCAGGTTTTTTAATAGCAAACAGGTAGAAGAAAGGCTAACACGGGCATGGGGTCCACAGAGGCTCCTTGGTGCTGTAGAAGCAGGTGGTGGCGGTAAGCCCCCCCAAAATGCAGTTTTTTGCTGTTTTGGTGACACCCACTAAGTACTAAAGTTTCTTCTCTATCATTCCCTACCCATTCTTACTGGAAGTGTCAGGGCCTTCTGAGTCTGTCTATGAACTGAAGTCTGTTAATTATTCAAAAAAGTGGCCTTGGTCCCTGAGTGGATCTAGCAGTATTTGTAAGTTCAGGGAGAAACAGTAGCTCATGCATGAGGAGCTAGGACTCTGTTGCTATGGCAGCAATTCAAAATGTAATTTCTTAAATGCTGTCTTTGTAGCTATATCTTGTTTTAGTTCATCTCTCATATAATGAAGCCCAAAGTCCCATCTCCAGCACAATTTTCTTCTTTGGGGTGCTTTCACCATCTTGAGTCTAAAAACAGATTAGACTTTCAATTCTAATGCACAAAATATAAAATGTTATTCTCTGGCTTTGAATATCTATGTAAATCTACTATCTGCTCTTTGGTGTGTATGAATTTTTTTTTTTTTTCCTGAAGCTATATAGATAAAGTGTTTCTTTGTGCCATCATTTCTGAAATGTTTTGAGCATCAGCTGAATACCAACTCAAATTTTGAGCCTTACAAAGGCATTGTTCTACATCCTACTTGAATGAGTAGTGATTGTGGTCTAAAAAGCTTTCAAGTGGCCATCTAAGTTGGAGCAATTGGTCTCTTCTCTTCTGGAGCAAAGAAGAATGAAGAAACTCAAAGGTGCATGGAAACAGTTAGTCCAAGGGACTAGTGGACCATGTGAACCTCATCCTACATGACCGTGAGACCAGAAGAAGTATTACTATCAACCACTTGGAAAGGGATCAAATAGAGTAGGAGAAAAATGTGGAACAAAATTTTATATATATATATATGTATATATAAACAGCTTTACTAGTCTGATAGAGACTGGTAAAACCCCTGAGACTATGGTCCCTAGTTACCCTTCAGGCCTGGAATTGAATTTATTCCCCATGGTTTAACTTCCAGCCAAACAATAGACAGGCCTATAAGGTGAACAGTTACTGTCATGAAACAAAATGTTTATGAACAGTTGAATAGAAAACAAATTTACTCTGTAAACTTTCACTCAAATCACAATAAAAAATTTTTTTTGAACCTTTCTGTACTTACGTTGGTGTGAATCTAACTGAATCTCAACCAAATTTATTAATCATAGGAAAAAGTATTATTTGACCTCAGCTGACTTAATTTTTTCAGTAAACTTTTTTATTTTGTAATAATTTTAGATTTACAGAGAAGTTGCAGTGATTGTACAGCAGTCCCCGTATATTCCTTACCAAGCCTCATTTTCCCCTGCTATTATCATGTTACATTATCATGGTACATTTGTCAAAATCAATATATCACTCTTAATGAAACTCTAGACTTTGTTTTGATTTTACCAGTTTTGTTTTTTAGGGGCCACTGTTCTTAAAATTAATAAAAGCCCCTCTTCTAGGATCTTTACATCAAATGTTCTGTCCTCAGCGTAGATCTGCCCTATTTGTTTAAGGGTCATTCCCAAGCATGCATAGTATTTTAGTGCAAACGTGTTTACTTACATATTATAAATTGTGTACTTCCCTCTGCAGATAAAGGTATTTCATATCAGACACTTTGTGATTTTTCATTTTTTTTCCTCTCCTGGATTTCCTGTCAGTCATAAAGCAAATATTAGCATTTGTGAGATCATAGCCTGTTACAATGAAAGTGATTTTCAAACACATCTGAGCTTTTCTGTCCTGCAGTACGTTTAGTGGAAGTGCTTGCTAGAATTTCCTAAGCTCCTCCCCTGGGATTTCTGTATCAGTTGGGACAGGATAGTTTGTTTTTTTTCCCTTAAATTTTATTTATTTTGTTTTTGAGAATATACACAGCAAAATTAATGCACCAATTCAACAGTTTCTGCATATACAATTTAGTGATGTTGATTATGGTCATCAAGTTATGCAACCATTCTCACCCTCCTTTTCTGAGTTGTTCCTCCCTTGTTAACATAAACTCACTGCCTCTATAGTTCCTATTGAATCTTTTGAGCTGCTGTTGTCAATTTAATCCCATATAGGTTGTTCTTAAGAGTGTGATACTCAAGGCAGACCTTTTTTTAACTAGTTAAACTAAACTACTATTAGGTTTAAAAATGACTTCAAGGATATTTTTGGTTTAAAGTTTAAAGATTATCTCAGGTCAATAGTGTCAGATGTTTATCCAACCTTTATGTCTCTAAAAAGTCTAGAGATTTTGAAATGCTGATTTGGATTTTCCCCCTCTTGATCAGGACTTTTCTATGGATTGATCAAAATGTTCTGTAATAGCCAGGCACCAGCCAATTCTTCTGGTCTCATAGCAAAGGAGGCAATTAATTATTCATGGAGGCAATTAGCCACATATTCCATATCCTCCTTTTCCTGACTCTCCTTCTTCCTCTGTGGCTTGGGGTGAGTAGATACTAATAGTTGTGCCTTGGATGGCCGGCCACTTGACAGCTTTTAAGTCCCCAAGCACTACCCAATGAGCTAGGAGATAGAACAGAAGCACTAAACACATTATTAGGCCAATTAACTGTAATGTCCTATGAAGCTTTGACCCCAAACTTCCAAACCAAGGAACCAAATCCCCTGAGATGTTTGGTTATACATAAGCAACCTCAGCAGCTTTTTTTTTTCCCAGGTCATTGCCAATTCCATGTTTTATAGGTATACAAATTTATTGACAGCAATTGTAATAAACAATTATTTTTCTTGTCTTTTTAATAAAAGTGAGGTCATACAATATTTGTCCTTTTGTGATTGGTTTATTTCACTCAGCGTGTCTTCAGGCTTCATCTCTGCTGTGTAGCATGTGTTAAGACTTCATTTCTCCTACTGTCTTGTTGGGCATTTAGGTTGTTTCTACCTTTGGCTATTGTGAATAGTGCTGCGGTGAACATTTGTATACAAGTCTCTTTTTGAGTCTTTGCTTTCAAGCCTTTGGGGTGTATATACCTAAGGGTGGAATTGCTGGGTCACATGGTAGTTCTATTTATAGTTTTTAAGAAACTACCACACTCTTTTCCACAATAGCTGTACCATTTCGCATTTCCATCAACAGTGGATAAGGGTCTAGTTTTCCCACATCCTCACCAACATTTGTTGTTTTCTGTCTTTTTAATCTTAGCCATCCTAAATGGAAATGAAATGGTATCTCAATGTGATTTTGGTTTGTATCTCTGATGGCTCATGACACTGAGCATCTTTCATGTGTTTGGTGACCATTTGAATGTTCTCTTTGGTGAAATGTCTATTTAAGTCCTTTGATGATGTTATGATTGGGTTATTTGTCTTTTTTCTTGTCGAAATTTTATATATATTTTGGTTATTAGATTCTTGTCAGATATATGGTTTCTGAAGATGTTCTCCCAGTTAGCTTGTCTTTTCACTTTTTTGGTAGTCTTTTGATGAACAAATTTTTTTCATTTTTATGAAGTCTCATTTATTTATTTTGTCTTTAGCTGTTTGTGCTTTCGTTGTTATAGGTTATATATACTTCTTAAACTAGAATTTTATGACAGGATCTGTATTTTAGTTTACCACTTTTTAATATCTCTTCCCTGTCTTCCCACCTCCTTTTCCTTGATTTTTCCCGATACTCAGCACAATGCTTATTAGCACACAGTGCCCACAGCTAAATCCATTGCTGATGAGTTGATTCTGACTGATAATGACCCTATAGGACAGAGTAGAACTGCCCCCATAGGGTTTTGAAGACTTTATGGAAATCTCTATGGAAGCAGACTGCCAATCTTATGGTTAGCAGCCGAGCACTTAACCAGTGTGCCACCAGGTGTCCCCTAGCGCATAGTGGGCAGTTTAAATGTATTAAATGTTTGCTTTGGCCGAGATTCTTTACCCAGGAAGCATATAACATGAAGGTCCCTAAGTGAGGGAAAGGATGAAGGGGGACCAAAGTACTGTTCTGTTAAGGGAATGAAATAAGGATAAGGAAAAAGAAGAGGAAAGTTTTGTTCTGTGTGTTTTAGGTGCTATTCACTTACTGACTCTTGACTGGTTAGTTTTTTCATTTTGTAGCTTGAGGCCCATTGTAATGAAAAGAGGATTTCATATGCTCATTGTTCAGGTGAATGACTTTTTAATAGTTGTGTTTGTGTCTGAGGCCCTCTCCCCCCATCTCACTTTTGTAAAAAATACCCTTTTCAATGGTTAATTCTGTTTGGTGTGGTTCTTTGGGAGGCTACACATTACCCTTCATCAATTATATTTTTGGGAAAATGATAACCTATATTTAAAAGCTTTACATACACTCAGCTGAAAGAAAAACCTGCTGGGTCATGATTAGACCCTGTTGCTTTTAGCAGCTGGTAGCTCCAGGCAAAGTTCCTCTTGTGTTCCTAGAATCTCACAGGACCTGAAAAGACAAGCTTTAAGGAAACTATAAATAATGCATTTGAGGATTAACTCAGGAAATCAATGATTATTTCCTCCCAAGCTACCCAGTGGCTTTAAAAAACAGTTTAATTAATACAGCCCTTTGTTTACATTTTTCTGCCTCAATGTATGGATTTTTGCTTTTCTAATAGAAGCTCAAAATGGATTACGGTTGAGTTATGGATTGAATTGTGCCCCCAAAAAATATGTATTATAAATCTTAACCCCTATGCCTGTGGTTATAATCCCATTTGGGAATGATTGTCTTTGTTACAAGGAGCTGTGGTGACACAGTGCCCAAGGCACTTACTTGACGGCTAATCAAAAGGTTGGTGGTTCAAACTCACCAGCTGCTCTGAAGAAGGAAGATGAGGCAATCTACTTCTGTAAAGATTTACTGCCTTGGAAACCCAACGGGGGTCGCTGTGAGTAGGAATGAAGTCCATGGCAGTGGATTTTGGTTTTTTGATTTGTCCTTATTATATGGAGCCCTGGTGGCACAGTGGTTAAACCACTTGGCTGCTAACCCAAAGGTCAGTGGTTCAAACCCACCAGCCAATCTGTAGAAGAAAAATGTGGCAGTCTGCTTCGGTAAAGATTTCCAGCCTTGGAAGCCCTATGGAGCAGTTCTACTCTGCCCTGTAGGGTCACTATGAGTCAGAATCAACTCCCCAGCCAGCTGGCCATGGGTTTATTATGTTAATGAGGCAGGATTAGTATAGGGTATATTCTGAGATATAAAAGAGATTAAACAAGCCATCTAGGAAGCAGAGATGAGAGAAGAGAGACACCAAACCACCTGAAGATTGCCCAGGAGTAGAAGCTCAGAGGAGACAAAGATCTTCCTCTAGAGCCAACAGAGAAGAAGCCTTCCCATAGATCTGGTACCCTGAATTTGGACTTCTAACTTCCTAAACTGTGAGAAGATAAATTTCTGTTTGTTTAAGCCACCCACTTGTGGTGTTCCTGTCACAGCAGCACAAGGTAATTAAGATAGTTAGCAATAGCTTTTTAATGGATAGAAGACATTTGTAGTTTTTAAGTATTTGTTTCTGCTCTTAAAAGATTTCTGCCTTTAAGCTACTTCCTAGAAGGCACTGGTGGAATAACACATTTGGAGGAATTAATTGATAAAAAGGATGTAGTTGAACTTTGCCTTAGATCTGTTTGGTGGTTTTTTTCCTTCTTTTACCATTTCATCATTAGTTCTGTGTATTACTTCAAGGTTCCTTACAGTTAGCACCTTATTTTTTGAGGTTTTTTTTTTAGTAACTGATAATGTGAAGCAAAATGTCACCATTTTTTTCTTTCTCACCTAACTCCCCCCTCCTGTTTTCCCACACATGTAAAAGCTCAAACCCCCAGCCTATGTCTTTGATGTGGAGGCAGCAGGAATAGAAAAGGGAATTTGCTTTGTGCTTTTCAGAATGTTTCTGTCCATTATCTAGGGAGGTTTGGGCATAATTTAGCTTACTGCAGAGATAAAAAGTTTGTTCCCTATTCTTGTTTTCTTATCACTGAGCACCAAAAAATATAAATATGTGATTTGTTCAACCTTGTCTCAGCTGGGTGTCTTTATACACCCAGTCTTAAAGTGTTCCTTTTATTATCATTATTATTTTTTAATAATTTAGTTCCATTTGGTGCTAGCATCTGTCTGTTGCATCACTTGTGTTTATAAAATTCTGTCTGATATACTTGTTTAAAAACCAATTTGATTGTCACAGATTGCGGCTTTTGAAAAAATTGATGTCTTCTCCTGAATTATCATCATCCACACAAAGCAATAAAGTAGATCTCTTTGTTTTCTCATTCCATTTAAAGGATCCATACTAACTTCAGAGAAAAGTAACGAGCATCCTGTAAGTGGGAATCCAGAAAGCCTTTCTGCTGACAAGTTCCAAGTATCTCCAGATAGTTACACCAGTAAAAATAAAGAACCAGGAATGGCAAGGTAAGAAATGTCAAGCTGTAGTATCTAATGAATGCCTTTACTTATATTGGACTCTTACTGTTAACTTTTTTCAGCAAATTTTCTCTAGTTTTTTTGTACACAGATACTAACCTCTCATTGTTTTAGGGCACTTCTTTTCTTTCTTTGTATGTAGGCTTTTTTGGTTTTTTTCGGAACCAAACTATAAGTTACAACATGAGACATACACAGAAAGATCTATCCCCCTGGGATATAAGAATAAAATATTATAGGACTAAAATCTGAACAAGCCTGGAGCTTATCTCCAAGGCAACCCTTCCCTTAATTGAAGTCTTTGCCTTTCTAGAAAAAGTTTAGCAGTTGATTATTTATCCCAGGAAATATTCAGAATATCTTTCAGGAATGGCTAGTCAAGTCGCTATTAATACTAGATTCCATAGCACTTTATGTTTCTAAAAGTACTTTATCTGCTTCCTCATTTGATCTTTCCAATGCTGTGAAGGTAAAAGGACTAACTCTAGACTATTATTCTTCTTTGATATTTCAGAAAGAGACACAGAGCTATTAGGGTCGTGTGTGTGTGTATGTGTGTGTGTGTGTAGTCTGGTAATAATGTAATCACACCACCTTTTCCAAGCCCCTTGGACTAGACCTAGGATATGTTTTTTAGGCTGGTGTACTGGCATTATAATTGTCACAGAAAATGAAAAAATCTTGCCACCACAGGCACTAAACCCACATTTAGAGGTAATAGCTTCATTACCATACTTTAACCAATTGAGCTAACCACCTACTGACTATTCAGACTCAGTGGTCCCATCCCCGACACAGAAGGTACACAATAGAGATTTCTGTCACAAAATCTACACTGATTAAACATCCTCCCTCTAGTAGACTATTTGAGAGCAGCATCAGGTCTTACCCAGTCCACCAGGCTGTGCTCAGTGCTTGACTCACAGTAAGCACCCAATCATTATTTGAATGAATAAATTAATCTCTGAGATCCTTTAAACCTACTGATGAATATGTTATTCTATAAAGTCCTAAACACCTGAAAGAATAGAGGAATTATTTACTAGCTGTGTCTGCTCTTTAACTTAATGTTTTATAGCGGCTTTGTTTTTGGAATGATTTGGGATGTTTAAAAGGCAGAAGATGGGATGATTCTATGAATTCTGCTAAAATTGGGTAGAAATAATGAGTGTAGAGATGTTAGAATTAATCAGGTTTCTATTTTCATGAGAGATCTGTGTTTAGAACATCCACTTGGACTCAAGTGGAATAGTGTATAGAATGTGAGTGAATGACAGTAGATAATTTGGTGAAATTTACTGACATGCTTTTCAACATCCAGGAGACCACTGCCTCAGACCATACTTTAGCTGTCCAGCTAGTCCTTTCATAAGCTGTTATGGTTTTCTCACTTCATCTTTCTAGGTCTTCTCCTTCTAAATTCCAGTTGTTAGATAATAGGCAGGATATGCACAGCCACTCAGGGAATCTTCAGAATGGAAACTGCCTGTCTCAGGAGGAGTTCATGGTGGATGTGGAGGAGCACCAACTGGAAAAGTCTGAGGTCCATAATTTAATGGAGCAGGCTTATTTGCCAAGGCAAGATCTAGGTAATGTTTCATCTGCTCTGATGGAGAAAACACTTCTATTTTACTCTTATGTAAAGATATTCTGGTTAATTCACGCTCAGATGTACAAGTCAATCATGGATACATCAGTGATACTTAAGCCCATTTTTCAGAAATAACTTGAGTGCTAATCCAAGTTTACTTGAAAATGATCACAGTTGTTAATTGTTCTTATTGGTTTAACGCATCTAAAAGTTTTGAGGATGGGAAAGTCTTGATGTACTCTAAATATTTTACTTCAATTGACAGGAGTAAAAGTGCCCTAGAACTCAGTTTTAGGCCTGTCCTGTATTGAAAAATGAGTCAAATCCCAATGTAAGTTCTTTTATGAATTAATGAACACAAATGACTGTATATTGTATGCCTTATAAATCAGTTTTAATGAATATTGTGTTTTATGGCTTGTAAATCAAAATTTTAATCAATAAAGAAAGTTTTAAATTAATCCTCAAAAACACATTATCATAAAAGGTGCTATTTGGCATCTAACTGTGGTATTTGGCCATGTTCACAAGGGTCATTTTAGTAACTTCATCCATTCTACTTAGCTATGCTTACTTCCTGATGGAGTGACATTTTCTGAAATGTGTCAGGGATGCTCTCCGCTGTTTTTAATTTAGTACTGATGTCAGATGATTTATAAAGTGAAAAGGGTAATCATCATCATAGATGAAGAAACAAAAATAGAGGATCTCATTTTCTCAACTTTTCCCTTTTTTTTACAAAAGTACTGTATGTTCATTGCCAAAAATTAGAAAATATAGATAATAAAAAAGGGGAATATTTACTTACCTATATTCCTATCACTTAGTGATAAAGTATTGCTTTTTTCTTCAGTTATTTTATTTAAAATTTTATTTTTAAAATATAGACTCATGATAAATGATATTTTATAGCTATTTTCTTTAATATACTATGGACATTTTTCCATTTCCTTGTGAATCAGTGTTTATGTTCAAACTCTAATGAGGGAAGAGGGTTCTGTTGGAGTAGGCGTTCCATAGTTCGTTTAATCTGTATTAGTTGATGTTTAGGTTGTTTCTAAAGTTTTCCTACTATAAATAGCATTGTAATGAATACTTCTATAACTAAACCTTTGCGTATATCTTTTAATTTTTTTTTAGGTAACATTTCCAAAACTGAAATTATTGACTGATACTGTATATACATATTAAGGCTTGTGGTATATAATGCCAAGTTGTCCTTTAGTAAGGTTAAGCCCCTTTATACTTCCAGAAGCAGTGTATTAGTATAGCCATTTTTCTCTTAATCTTATTAATCTGTGTTTTTAATTTTCAGGAAAGACTGTAAGTTTGTAATGAAATTGATTGTCATGTAGATAACCTTCTTCCCCATTCCTTTCAGAGGGAACCCCTTGCCTAGAATCTGGAGTCAGCCTCTTCTCTGATGACCCTGAATCTGATCCCTCTGAAGACAAAGCCCCACATCCAGTTCTTGATTGCAGTATGCCACCTTCCTCCTGTGCATTGAATTTACCCCACTTTCAAGATGCAGAATCTGCCAACAGTTCAGCTGATGCTCATACTACTAATACTGCTAGGAACAACGTGAGTGAAGAAAGTGTGAGCAGGGAGAAGCCAGGAGTAATATCTTCAACTGAAGGGGTCAACAGAAGAATATCCATGGTGGCATCAGGCTTGACTCCAAAAGAATTTGTGAGTGTATCTATATGTAGCTCCCTAATGACTGAGATTTTATCACACACTGTAGGTCATTTTAAATAGGTACTGGTGATGAAGAACCTGTAGGAAGATATCTAGGAAACAGGCACAATTCCATGTAATTGAATTCCATTACTAAGTTCTGAAAATTTGGACCTAGATAAAGCTATAATATGGATTATTTTGTATGTTATTTATTTGAGAAAATAATTATTAGATATTAGAGGGAAGTTACAATTTTAAGTATGATATAGAACTTTTGAATTTGAATTCTTTGTATCTAAAAAAGCAAGTACGTATAACACTACTTCAGAAAGCATCCTTTGCCCACCTTGGTTCACATCTGATTAACTAAATCCTGGCTGGTTCCAGCCTACTGCCAAACAGTGGCGTTTCTCCAGTGTTTATTTGTCTTCATTCCTGGCTTATAACATAGTTGTTCAATAGCCTGCCCTATCATTTCTTCCCTATAACAGCCCTTGCTATTAGGATTTTGGCATCTCCTTGGGCTCCTCATGACAGAAATGGGAATTGTTTCACATTGTGGAAAAATACCCATTGAAATATTAAGAATACTGAAACTTTAATCAGACATCCTGGAACATTTAATAAGCATTGACATCACTTCATAATAAAATAATTAAATTAATATCTCTTTAAAACCAAGGTAAGATAACACACCAGAGTATCAAATGGATTTCTATAGTAGGTGCCTTATTGTATGCTGAGAAACAACACTTAGTCATTCTGAACGATCTTCTTTAATGCATCCTTCTGAGGATAGGAACCATTTCTCATCTTAACTTCTCCATAGTTAGTGACTCAGCATACCATTCTCTATGTGGCCAGATATGTCCCACTACTAATAGGGCAAAGCAAATGAGTTTGCCCTGGTTGTTACAATGGGTAAGTACAAGATGGTGGCTGCTAAAATTCTCATCTCCCAACTACATGGCAGAACAGTATGTGCTCTGAAAATTCAGACCTGTGTCTGTTGGTACTGTTCTTGATCACTCGCCTACACATCTAGAATGCCCATTTATTCATTGAAAATTAGCATTCCTATTCCTTTATTTTGAGAGTTAGCTTTTCAGAGATGGGTGAAATTGTCTAATCTTTCTAGCTATGGGCAACTCTGAGCCACAGATTAGACTATAAGTGGCTTGGGTGCATATTGTTTTTAAACAAGCAAAGAGAAAAACTTTTGAGCTCTATTCAGACTTGCTGAAGTGTGGTAAATTTATGATGAAAGCTGCTGACTGTATTACACATGATTAATTCTGAAGCCTATATTCAGATGATCTTTTCAGCAGTTGCTCTTCTAACTGAACACTGTTTCAAGGCTGGGATTTCAGCAATTAATCAGTTCAGAATTGCTAATGATCCTGGCAGAGGGCAGTGGTAAAAGGGGGAGGATGTCATTAGCTTCTCTAGCCTGCCTTACTCAGTGCCCTGTGGCAGTGTGGAGTGAAGCAGCATGAAAGAAAGATGGCCTGACCTCCGTTGCAATATTATGCAGCACATAAATATTGGCGTGGGTGGCCGATGGCTGGTAAATGATGGCCCTTGGTAAACAAAATTATTTACCAAACAATAGCTACCAATTATGTCAACTGCACCCATAATGGATCTGGTTAATTTCTTTTACTGCCTATTGATTTTTATTTGGTTCATAGAGAATGGCTAGAAGGCACCAGATTCCTTTTGAGAAGAATATGAGCCTCTTCCAATCCTTCTCCTTAAGATGGAATTGATAGTTTTTGCAGTGACCTTTAGAAACATCTTGACTGGAATGTTTTGTAACTGTCAGAGGGTTAGATCTTGTTTTTAAGGTACATATATCTGTAACATAACTTTCTATATGGACTGGTTCCTTCTCAGCTTATAAAGTGTAGGCTGATAAATCTGAATTATAGTATAGTGGAGTGTCACTCTGCAAAGAAACTGTCATAGTGAATAAAATGATATCTTCTGTGAAAGGCAAAATTAATATTATTTTGCATCTTGGTTATAATTCCACGTCTGCTAGCATAAACTACTTCAGTATTTCTTCCTCTGATTTATACAAGATTTTTATTGAATTACTATCTATTTTGAGACTTAAGCCATGTTAGAATAAAAATGATGTGCCTTTTCTAAGAAAAATGGAGACTCAAAGCTAGGATAACTAAACCTCTAAACCACATACTTGAAATAACTTACTACAATGCAATATATATTTGATTTCAGATGCTTGTGCACAAGTTTGCCAGAAAACACCAGTGCACTTTAACTAATCAAATTACTGAGGAGACTACTCATGTTATCATGAAAACAGGTATGCCAAAAACCTTAACAAAATATGTTAAAATAGGTATGTTAAAACGTTACGAAGAAATGGGAATATTTGATAAGTGTGTTAGTTATCTAGTGCCACTATAACAGAAGTACCATAGATAGCCTAGTATATAGAAAAGGAAGAAAAAGAGAGGCCACTTCAGTTGTCCTACACTTTCCCCTTTTTAAATCTTAATTATGACTTATGGGATAAAGAAGACCTTTGGGGGATTTAGTTGACTGTATATTAAATCTGAATAAACAATCCAGGGCTGCTAAAAAGCTCTTTCTTTGGAATCAGCACAAATGTGGATCTCTTCCTGTCAGTTGGCCATGGCCAGGTAGCTGTCTTCCAAATTTCTTATCATAGATGAGTGAGCATGTCCAGCATTGCATCCATTCATTGAATATCTTAATTGGTGTTCCGTCAGTTCCTGGAACCTTGTTTTTGGCAGATATCTTCAGTGCAGCTTGGACTTCTTTCTTCAGTACCATCAGTTCTTGATCATATGCTACCTCCTGACATGTTTGAAGATAACCAATTCTTTTTATACAGTCACTGTGTATTCCTTCCATCTTCTTTTGCTGCTTCCTGTATCTGTTAATATTTTGTCCATAGAACCCTTTAATAATGCAGCTCAAGGCTTGAATTTTTTCTTCTTGTTTCGGCTTGAGAAATGCTGAGTGGGTTCTTTCCTTTTGGTTTTCTAGCTCCAGGTCTTTGCACATTTCACTTTGGCTTCTTGAGCCATATTTGTGCCCATTCCAAAGAAAGTGATCCAACAGAAAGTGGAAGTTATCAAACAATATCATTAATATCACATGCAAGTAAAATTTTGCTGAAGATAATTCAAAAACAGTGCAGCAGTATATCAATAGGGAACTGCCAGACTTTTAAGCCAGATTCAGAAGAGAACGTGTAACGAATATCATTACTAATATCAGATGGATCATGGCTGAAAGCAAAGAATACCAGAAAGATGTTTACCTGTGTTTTATTGATTATGCAAATGTATTCAACTGTGCGGATGCTGACAAGTTATGGATGACAATCAAAAAATGGGAATTCCGGAACACTTAATTGTGCTTATGTGGAACTCGTACAAGGACCAAGAGGCAGTCTTTTGAACACAAGAAGAGGATACTGTGTGGTTTAAAGTCAGCAAAGGTGAGCATCAGAGTTGTATTCTTTCACCATAATTACTCAATCTGTATGCTGGCAAATAATCCAAGAAGTTGGACTTTATGAAGAAGAATATGGTATCAAGATTGGAAGAAGATTCATTAACAACTTAAAATATGCAGATGATACAACCTTACTTGCTGAAAGTGAAAGACTTGAAGTACTTACTGATGAAGCTCAAAGATCAAACCTCAACATAAAACAAAAATCCTCACAACTGAGCAAGTAAGCAACATCATGATAAACAGAAAAAAAAAAAATGAAGTTATTAAGGATTTCCTTTTACTTGGATCCACAATCAATGCCCATGGTGTTATCAGTTAAGAAATTAAACCGTGTATTACATTGGGCAAATCTGCTGCACAAGACCTCTTTAAAGTATGAAAAAGTAAAGATACCACTTTGAGGACTAAGGTGTGTCTGACCCCAGCCATGGTATTTTCAGTTGCGTCATATGCATGCAAAACCTGAAGAATGAATAAGAAAGTCTTGAGAAGAATGAATGCCTTTGAATTATAATGTTGGCAAAAAATATTGGATATACCATAGACTGCCAGAAGAACAAACAAATCTGTCTTGGAAGAAGTACAGCCAGAATACTCCTTAGAAGCAAGGATAGTAATACTTGGTCTCATGTGCTTTGGGTATGTTATACTTTATAAAGCTTGTTATACTTTACCAAGCATTATGTCTTGGAGAAGGATATCATGCTTGGTAAAGTAGGTAAGTGAAAAAGAAGACCCTCGACAAGATAGATTGACATAGTGGCTACAATGGACTTAAACATAGCAGCAATTGTGAGGATGGCACGGGACCAAGCAGTGTTTCATTCTGTTGTACGTAGGATCGGTATGAGTCAGAACCGATCTGATGGCATCTAACAACAACAAGAGAGCTCATCTGAAATTGGGCCTCATCAGTACAAGCCTAATTCTAGAGTAAGTGAAGTGAAGACCCTGTCCAGCTGTATTCTCTGTGGAGTAACTCTGCCTGCAACAGCTCCCTGTTCTGAGCACCATGCTTTCTTTTTAACACAGTCCCTGACAAACTGGAGAGTGTTCATTCAGAGGTAGATGATGAGAATAGAGAAAAGAAATCAAAATGTCATTTGAAAAATTGAGGAATGAGATGACTTAAGGGAACAAAACAACTATCTTCAAATATCTGAAGAATTCTTATCTGGAAGAGGTGTTAGATTCACATGGCTCCAGAAAGCAGATCAAAGACCAGTGCTGAGCAGTGGGGGGAGTGTATAAAGGAGTATGCAGATTGTGGTTCCAACTCTTAAAGCCTTTCTAACAAAATTAATTCTCTGCAAATACAGTGGTCCTCTCTAGGATATTCACATGGCCTCAGGTATTTGATCTGAGGCTCCAAACTCTTTGGCAGAGATACATTGCCTTAGGTTTCTGCTGTATGAAAATTGTACCACAAGGTCAGAGGGTTTCTGCTGTATGAAAATTGTACCACAAGGTCAGAGGGCAGTGCTCACTGGAAGCAGGTACCAGAACAAGGTACTACCAACTAAGTGCAATTTTAGAGACGAATGTCATTGAAGTTTAACATATCTTAAACTATAGGTTTGGATGAAAGCTGATAAAAGAGAAAGAAAACTTAAATGCAAATTAAATTTAAGTAGTTCAGTCTTTAAACGCAAAAGACCATATAACATTTTCTTATTTGAAATAAGAATGAGCTGAAATTTCTGAATTTAAAGCATATTATTAAATCAACTTTTGCAGCAAACAAAAACCTTTAAAAATTAAAATGTAAAGACTTCTGTGATGGAGAATGGTCACTGTTACTACTGGCAGATGGCCTGCTGTGTTCAGGATTTAGTTAAATACATTTCTTCTGTTTAAAACTAAGTGTTCTTTCTCCAGTTTACTTAGTTCTTCAAAGGGGCCTCTGAAACACTAGGAAATAAGCAAGTGATTCTTCAGCTACTGCTTTTTGAAATCCTTCTATAGAAAAGAGAAAAGCTATGAAAAGACTCCATTTTCCTGTCCTCTCAGGGGAACATTAGGGAGTTAGGATTCCCCAGGTGGAAAATTCTGGGAGTGAAAATTTGTTACTTATGTTAACCTTTCAGATGTAGGATTCCAGTGGTCCTTTTTCTTCTTTCACATTTTACTGTCCAGTAAAAAAGATCTGTCAACACTTCTCATATCAGCTCTACTGACATGGGTAATGCTTTGAACATGACAACAGAGATCTTTAGCAGCCTCGGCATCTACAATGGGCAGCCATTTCCTCTGGTCTTCCTATCACCCTTTTCCAAGCTTGCAAAGAACCACACCTGCTGTTTATAACTAGGGATGCTTCCAGCCTCTGATTCTGTCACATCCAGGAATGTTGGAGTCATCAATGAAGATTGACCTTGAGTAGCATAAGGAGCTGGGGCTTTCTTACAGCAGCATTTCCTGATTTTGTGTTCAACTACTAATCCTTCATATGTTTTTCATTCTGCAGACACTGAGTTTGTATGTGAACGGACGCTGAAATATTTTCTGGGAATTGCAGGAGGGAAATGGGTAGTTAGCTATTTCTGTAAGTACAATATAATTTCTCCCCTCCTCCCTCTAACACTTCAGAATTGCATTTTTACACCTAACATTTTAACACCTAAGGTTTTTGCTGCTGCTGAGTCTGAATTACCAAAAGGTCTTTAATGGTAACACTAAACTGGCTTTATCTTTAATGCATATCTCTTTGTTAAGATAAGCTGATGATGTTGGGAAAAAGGATTTCTTTTCAAAACTAATAGGACTTAATCTGCTCCTACCAATGTTAGCATATAAACTAAGGATTTATATAATAGTGGGCAGAAATCCATGTGCAGCAGGCACTTTTATAACGTTGAAATTAAGTATCAACTGTGTCTCCAGAAAGAAATCTCTGCCACAGGCTTTGTTAAGGAACTGTGGCTCTGTAGGGAAAGGACCTATACTCGGTATTCTTCTGATGCTCTTAATGTGAATCTCTGAACCATCCATCTCCATGTGACCTGATCTTTCTGTGTTTTCTTTAGGGGTGACCCAGTCTATTAAGGAAAGAAAGATGCTGGATGAGGTAGGTCCTTGATGTTACAAACTAGTCAGAGAGACTTGGTTCTGTTGAGTCAGATAGTCAAGGAAAATTGATGACACTTCCTTCCATTAACACATCACTTTCTACAAATCTTCCTTGATAATGGGGATCATTAAGAGTTATACAGAGCAAACCAGGAAATTCTGTGCTCACTCTTTTATATTCTAGTGTTCTAAAGAAACAGTCACTCAGGGGGAGGAAAAGTATAAAGCAGAAAGAATAATTCCTTGGGACCAGAAACAGGCCCACTTGAATTTTACATACATACATCTTTGTTGAAAACTGGCTGTTCACTGTTGTTGAAAAATCCTTCATATTAACATGTAAATGTATCTGTTTAGAAATCAGGTTCCTTCAAAGAGATGTTACACTTTATGATACTGAGAACGTGAGAGGTAAATAAGATAGAGTGTAGGAGGAGGAATAATTTTAGAACAGAGCCATCTAGGAGCTGCTGGTGACAACAGATCAGGCAAAATAAAATTAGTGAAAGCAGTTTAAAACTATTATATATGGTTTGGTATGCTCATAATTAATTAAATGACATTTCTACTGGTTTTATCTATCAGTGACTATTTATTCGGGACCTACTATATGCCAGGCACTCAACAAGACTGACCAGGTTCCTGCTCTGGTGGGGATTCATGTTCTACTGAGGGGAGATACACAATGAAATTGAATTTAAGATCCCAATATTCACTCAAACCATAAAAAAATGTTTAAAAAAAAAAGATGCCAAATAAATGCTATGGAGAAATATATAAAACAACAGGCTAGCAGTTGCTTGGGGTCAGGAGTTGGCTAGTTTGTTAACGAGGCTATAGAGAACCTTTCTGAAGAGGTTGAGCTGAGACTTAAATGATGATGAAGAATCAGCCTTGAAAACTATAGGAAACAAGTGTTACAGGCAGAGGGCCAGCAAGCGTAAAGGTCTTGAGATAGGAGTGAACTTGATTTAAAAAAAGAAGAAAGAGGCCAGTGTAGCTGGAGAGTAGTATAACTGGTGATACGTACAAGGTAGAGGTCAGACAAGGGGTAGAAGGTCAAAGGCCAGGGCCAGGTCAGGTGGGCCTGGTAAGCTGTGCTAAGGAATTTTTATTTTATTCTAAGGGTAATTGGAGGCATGAAGATGGTAGAAGAGGTTTGGGGATGGGTTTGGAGATAGGACTTGCTAATGGATTATATTTGGAGGATAAGGTTAAAGAGAGAATTAAGGGTGACTTTTAGAATTTTGCCCTAAACATCAGGTTGGATATTAGTCATTTTTAATTACGTAAGGAAGACATTGGAGAGGCACGTGGAGCATGTTGGGATGGGAGTAGGGTGAGAATGGAATCCAGAACTCTTTTAGACGTGTTAATTTTGAGATATATACTAGACATCCAGGTAGAGAGGTTAAGTGGGCAGTTGGACACATTGTATGAAGCTTGACAATGCGATCAGGACTACAAATTTGGGAGTCATGTTCACATAGAGATGAATTTTTCACAAGTCTCATTCAAGACACCAGGAAATGCTAAGTGCCCTTTTGCCTAACAGCATCCTGCAGTTGTGCTAATGCCTTTATTTTCCTTTATGATGCTCTTCACAGCAGATGGGGTCTCTCCTACATTCTTGAGTTTCATTATGAAGTGTTCCTAAGCATTCTTCCCAGATTTCTCCCCAAAACTCTTAACCTCCTCAATCCCATTATTCTTTATTCTCTTGCCTTTGCCCATAATTAGTAACTGTGAAAAACCTATAACTTTTTTCAGTGTATTAAATGTATATCTTGTCATTTTGGTTTCATTTACTATGTAAAATCTCTCAACTGAAATCTAAGAAGCCTGCCTTCTTTGACTGTAATACACAATTGATTTAGGAGATAAGAAATTCTCCAGTTATCCTCATAACAGCACTGTATTAGCAATTTAATCTAAATGCTAAGCGAATGTTTTGAAAGGAGTTCAAAAACCAAACACGCTGCCATCCGACTCATAGTGAGCCCTCCTTGGGTTTCCAAGGCAATATCTCTACAGAAGTAGATTGCCCAACTTTCCTTCTGAGGAGTGGCTAGTGGGTTTGAACCGCCAGCCTCCTGGTTAGCAGTCAAATGCCTTAGGCACTATGCTACCAGAGCTCCCTTGAAAGGAGTTAGATGTTTAAAACTAAGATACATTAAGTCCCTGTGAGGTGGGAAGCCAGTTGTTAACCCACAAAGATTTGCTTTGGTGAGTTGATTTTAGCAGCAGAGATGCTGGTCATTTCATCTAATCTACCATAAAGAATTACTTTTTTTTCTTTTTGTCAAAATTCTGCCTAGTGACACTGAACTCCTTAAATATGACATGTCTACATGAGTCTTATTGAAGAGAGCTTCTATCTCTCTGATCCCTCTAATTTGGCACTTGGTTTTTTTCAGTGTGATTTTGAAGTCAGAGGAGATGTTGTCAATGGAAGAAACCACCAAGGTCCAAAGCGAGCAAGAGAATTCCAGGACAGAAAGGTAAAGCCCCCTTCCACCCACGCTGACAAAACCCCACCACTCCTCTGTGTTCCAGCTCCCATCATGGAGATAGTCTCATTCATCTTGTAAGGCTCGTTAACATACTCACTGCTAGAGCACTAGCTAGGTTCTTTCACACAGGTTCTTTTATAATTTTCCCAGCCAAACAAGGTAAGAGTAAGTATTATCTCCATTTCATTACGGAGGGAACTGAAAGTTATAATGTTGTTGTTGTTGTTGTTGTTGTTATGTGCTGTGGAGTCGGACTTGACTGATAGCAACCCTTCCTTGGGTTTCCGAGGTGGTATTACCTCAGAAGTAGATTGCCCAACGTTTCTTCTCAGGAGTGGCTGGTGGGTTTGAACTGCCAGCCTTCTGGTTAGCAGTCAAGTGCCTTAGACACTATACTACCAGAGCTCCTGAAAGTTATAATAGGCTATATGATGTGGGTTTCAGTCTGAGGTTCCTATCTTAGCCAGTAAGTGCCAAAGCTGAGATTTGAGTCAGATTTGACTCTAAAGACTTGCTCTTTCCAGCTTACTGGTGTCTTTGTCTAAAGCAGTGTGCTAAGTTCACAGTGCTGTCTGGAAGCATAGAGGAGGAGGTGATTAATAATTGACAATAGCTGACATTTATATAATCTTTACTTTGTGCCATGGGCTGCTCTAAATAGTCAGCCATATTTTAACCAATTAACAATTTTACACCAATCTTATGATTGTGTTATTATGTGTTACTATTATTGTGTTATTATGGCTATTTTACAGATGAGGAAATTGAGTCTCAGAGAGGTTGAGTACGTTGCTGAAAGTCACACTGCTAGTGAGTGATGGAACTAAAAGTTGAACTCAGGCAGGCTGGCTCCAGAGTGAGCTTTTAAAGACAAAACTATGGGTTTTTTTTTAAAATTATCGAAAGGTTCACAGAGAAAAGCAGTAGCAGATTATTCCTAACACTTTGCAGAAGTAGGGGTAGAGACCCTGGAAGACACTGTGTGTGACTTTCACAGATCATACTGTAGTAGGTGATGGAGCCAGACAATATCCTTTCAGGCAGAAGTCCAGGCAAGATTGCACACCTTCCTGTCAGGCCTGAGTGGACGGCTTCTCAGGTCACTGAGTGCTTCTGTTCCCAATCTGTATTTCTTCCCTTTTTAAGTGCACCAGTGGGCATTTCAAAATATCTCCATACTGGACGCCTTCAGCTCCTTTACAGAAACTTGAGAGGAAACCAACAGAGATGATTTTTTAAAGAAAAATACTTTAAGAAATGATCGCAAATTAAGCCCTAGATGTCAGAACTCTTGAGGTCAGCCCCCGCGCCCTCTGAGCCTATCAAATAGCTGTTCCAGATGCCAAGCGAAGCTGCCAGTCCTGTTTCTTCTGCCTTCACTCCAGGGCCGCTCCATGTGAGCCAGCCGTTTGGTTTCACTCCACTGTATGCAGGGCAGAATTAACACCAGACCCCTTCCTCCTTCAAAGGCACGTTCAGTGCTTTGGATTTTTCCTGCATTCAGGAGAGCAGTGATAGAAAGTGGTCAAGGGAATGATGTTCTGAAGATACTAAATGCCCTAGTATTTTCCTACGGAAGGGAAACATGTTGGTAGAAGTGAAACTTGACATTTCTTATCTTATAACTAGACATCCTCATCAGTGAGTGTCAGCCCATAAGTAAAAAGTCCTAATCTTTTGTACTTTGCATGGCAGCCTTTGACTCCAGCTAGCTGCCTGAGGACAACTTCTAACATTATAAGCATCTATATCCTGTCAACAGTTTAGGGGTGCAATTTATTCACACAGATAGTGACAATGGCACAGATGGAGTCTGTCCCTTAAAGCAGAAGCAGACTTGTCCTACTGTCCTTTCTTATTCCTCTGGCTGTAGTTGAAATATGTGTGTGGAAGGGGAGAGGAGTCATTTCCTAAAAAGCCATCCATGTGTTTTTAGTTTTGTGATCTCCATCTGATCTCTCTCATTTGAGGGCCAAGGTGTTAGGCCTAGGCAGTTTTCTTTTTCGTGGAATGGGGAGGAAGGAAAAGGGTCAATAGAATAAGAGTTACACAACATGATATATAAAAAGGCAAGTTGTATAAACCCACCGACATACATTTGGGTTTCTTTTAAATGATGCCTGAGTTTTTTTCATAAGAATCCATGCCAATGAATGTGTAAGAATTTGTACTGTCCAACACAGAAGTGACCAGCATGTGAGGCCATTTAAATTTTAAATAATTAAGATGAAATAAAATAAGAGATTTGATTCCTCAGTCACTCTACCCACATTTAAAGTTCAATAGCCGTATCTGGCCACTATATGGGTGCACATGTATTTCCATCATCAAAGAGCGTTCTTTTGGGCAGCTCTGTTGAGCACTGTAAATGGAAGAGGCCCCTGGAAGATGCAGTGTAATTTGTCTTCTGGAAACCAGGCAGTCAGACCAGCTCAATGAGGAAAAGCAGAACCAGGCTTCACTTCTAGGATTACATGATGGCGGAATAGGCAGAAAGACTGCACAGACCTTCAACAAAGAAAAGGGGAATCAATTAACACAGACACAGAAATAATTCTAGACCCCTGAGCCTTGAAGGGAAGGATATAGAAGTGGACTAAACTCTAACTAGCAGAAGAATTTGCATGAAAACACCAAAAAAGGAGACATACAGAGCTGTGGTCTGGCAGTGATCCTGATGGCACAGACAGCTGGGATATTGCCGAATGATGATAGGACCTAAGAATTAACCTAAATATGAGCCCTGCTACCCAGAGACTGCATGAAGGACTGCTCTGGTGGCTGGGGAATAAAAGGGGAAGCAGCGAAGAGGAAGGCGGGCTGAGCTGTGAATTGTCTGTCCAGAAGGCACAGCTATTTTGAATGTTTACAAGCAGCTTGACCATTTTGGATATTTTAAGCAACAGCATTCTCCCAGATTGCAGGGACTTAAGAACAGGCTCCACTTGCCGGGAACCCCAAGGACATTCTGGACCCAGATGACTTCAAAGGGGTGACATTTCCCTTGTTAATCTTATACCCCACACCCTCTTGATGAATGAAGGTGTGGCCATCCTTCACTCCCACCTACTTTCTGGGCCGGCAGGAATTCCATCCCAGTCTGTGTGCTCTGTCGTAGCCTGGGGGCCCTGCACCTCCCTTTTTCTTCTTTTTTCTGTTTTTTAGTTTGGTTGTTTTTGTCTGTTGTAAAACTATTATTATTACTGCTTTTGTTCTTTTTACTATTATTCTTTATTCTTCCCCTCCCAGGTTCCAGTTTTCAGTTTTTTTTCTTTTCCCTGTTCCTGGTTGCATTTTTTTTTTTTTTCTTTCTCATGATTAACCTTTGTTTCTCTTTTTGCATTTTTCCTATTTTTTTCTTCATTATTCTCCTACTCTACCTTTTTTCTCTTATTGCCCTACTCCCAGGTATTGTAGGCTTTTGGTGGTGGTGGTGGTGGTAGTTTTCTTCTTTTTCCCTTTTGTCTTTTTTGTTTACTGTTTCTGTGTGGTTACATGGTATATTTTGTGTCCATGTGCTTTTACTTTTTTGATGGTTATTCAATTGTTATTTTTGTCTAACTGAGTGGAACACAGCAACAGTGCCCATGTGACACAACTGCACCCACATTCCTGCAGCTTCACTTACTGAGTGAGAACCACCACTTCGTTCTCCGCCAACAGGCCAACAATTAACAACCACCAAGAACAGCCTGACTCACCCTTGGCTGCTCTTCACAAACAGTTAACAGAGATCTAAATACAACAACGCTACAGTGTCTCGAAGACAACAGACCATCACAGTCCACACAAAGAAGCAAGATAAAGTGGTAGAAACAAGGGAACAGGATAGAGACCCAGAACACATACTTGAGGAAGAAGCAGCATTGGAACTCTCTGATAAGGAATTCAAAAGAATTATATTTAGGTATCTTCAAAGAATTGAGAGATAGACCAAGGAAAACACAGACAAAACCTTAGAAGAATTTTGGAAGAAAATACAAGAACAAAATGACAAAATAAATGAAAAATTAGAAATGATTCTAAATCTACAGATAGAAATCCTAATACTAAATTGTCAGAAATAGATGACACATTGGAAGGGCAAAGGAGTAGAATTGATGCATTGGAAGACAGAATTAATGAGATTGAAGACAAATACATGAATACTTCTTTGGAAAGGGATCAATCAGGAAAAATATCAAAACAAAATGAAGAAAGCCTAAAGTTCATATGGGATACCATCAAAAGGAGTAACCTATGTGTCATTGGAATTCCAGAACAGGAAGAGAAAAATAACACCACTGAGCAAATTGTCCAAAATTTGTCAGAGAACTTTCCTGATATGATGAAAGAGGAGAATATATCCATTTAGGAAGTCCAACAAACCCCAAACAGGATAGACCCCAAAAGAAAATCACAAAGACATATCATCATCAAACTTACCAAAACCAAAGACAAAGAAAGAATCCTGAAAGCAGCATGGGAAAAACAAAAAGTTACTTACAAAGGACAACCAGTAATCTCTGATTTCTCCGCAGAAACCATGCAAGCAAGAAGGCAATGGGATGGTATATATAAAACCCTGAAAGAGAAAAATTTTCAACCAAGGATCGTATACCCGGCAAAATTGTCCCTCGAATATGATGGTGAAATTAGGAGATTTCCAGATAAGCAGAAACTAAAGGAATTTATTAAAACCACACCAACCTTACAAAAGATACTAAAGGGAGTCATTTGAACAGAGAACTAAAAATAGCAAATAACAACTGTGATGGTTATGTTTGTGTGTCAGGTTGACTGGGCCTGGTTGAGTGGCTGAGCAGCTGGATGTAGTATTCCCCATGATGAGATTGGTAATCAACTCCATGGTGGAATTTACTGGGAGCAGCTGAGTAGCTGCCTTTGGGATGTGGTCTGCTTCCTGTATATAAGGATAAGCTTTGAGAATGGTCTCTAGCCTGTGGCACACTTGGACCCTGCATGTATCCGTGTTGTTGCTCAGCAGCCTGCCATGCTCTGCCAACCTTGGGCCTTACAATGGATTTAAGTTAATGTCCTGCCGTATGGTTTGGTAACATAGGGACTGTGCCTTTTTCCTTGTCAACCTGGGGGCTTCTCAGCCTCAGCAGCCAGCATCTATCTGAGTGAAGAAATGCCTCTACCTCCTGTAGGCCAGGAACAGAAGGCAGAGCTGGACCCCAAGGTTGAGGGGCTTTCACCCAGCCCCAGAGCCTGGCACTTTGAACTTGGACTTAAAACCTCCAAATTGTAAGAAATAAACTCCTATTTGTTACAGCCATCCCATTTGTGGTATACATTCTTGTCAGAGCGGCTCTAGGCAACCAGAACAACAACTGACCATTAATACGCAAGATGACATAACCCAGAAACCACAGCTATGGACATATCCAAAGTAAAATAAGCCTACAAGATGGTAAACAGGGAACCAGAGACATCAATTGGCAAGTGAGGACAACTACAAACCCAAAACAGGGGAAGTACTGTGTAGTTACTGTGGTGAGGAAGTCAAGAGAGTTGCAGGATAGAATGGACTATTCTTATCTTGGGGAGAAAATTATAAATCACAGGGTAACCTCAAAGAAAAACAATAAACCTTCACATCACAATAAAAAAGAGGACAAGCACAAATATTCAGCAAATACTAAAACAACAGCAACAAAGGAAACGATAACATGATTCATAAACATAATGAGCTCAGCACAGAAAAGAATATGGAACAAAGAAACCAGGGACACCATGAAGAAACACATAACAAAATGACAGCAACCAATTCATACTTGTCAGTAATTACACTGAATGTTAATGGATTAAATGTACCACTCAAGAGACGGAGAGTTGCAGATTGGACATGAAAACAAAATCCATCAATATGCTGTCAACAAGATATACACCTTAGAAGCAAAGACAAAAATAGACTAAAAATAAAAGGGTGGAAAAAGATATATCAAGCAAATGTCAACCATAAAAGAACAGGAGTGGCAATATTAATTTCTGATCAAATTGACTTTAACACAAAAACTACCATATGAGACAAGGAAGGACATTATATAATGATTAAAGGATCAATTGAACATGAAGATATAACCATAATAAATATCTATGGACCCAATGAAAGAGCCCCAAAATA